AAGACCGGCTTTGCGACATTGTTCCTTCCAAGAATGTAAGAAAGTCCGATTATCCGTTCTGTGTACCTTGACCACAGAATAATAAACAAACAGAATACCCACTCTCCACGGAAAATTAAGTACGCGCATCTCCTCCGCGCGGACGTTCCGCCATGTTTTAGGAGGATTTTAAAGAAATTAGTGTTGTTTATGTGGTGTGCATGGAAAAATTAACCAGGTTTATTTGACTTACGGCAATCATAGACATACTATACAATTATATTAACATTGTTAAATATAATAACATAAATATAATATAATTAAACATAAATATAAACAATTACATAACCACACAAATCATATGTCTGTGTCCTCCTAAAACATGGCGCGCGTGCTGAAAAACTTCAAAGGCGGCATCTGAGAGTGGCCCTTCTGATTGTTTATTATTCTGTGCCTTGACCTTCAAGTTATGTGACCTTGACAGTACAAGTGCCATTCCAACAGTCAAATTTTCTGTTAGAACAGCCCATTAAATAAATTTTCGCTACCGTGAAATTGTGTTCGGCTCGTTTTGTTTTTAAATTTTTATTTAGTAAAAAAACTTTTTATTTTTAATAAGACAATGTTGAAAAGTATATGAGCAAAATAACCAAAATCGTAAGTTTTCTTATCTGCAGTAATGTCACGCCACCCTCGCACTACAATGGTCAAAATTACAGTTTTCCTTTTTTATTTTCATGACTGGCATTGGTAAATTTGTCGTATGACTAAAACTTGCCTTGAAAAGTAATAACTACACGTCGTATTGTCAAACTTATATGTTGAAGTTAACATATGGAAATCTAATTAGATAAATATGAAAATAACTATACCAGACAGTTAAAAAGTTTGGAATATTACACTTCTTTTCTAATCGTTCTCAAAATACAAACATTAGTAAATTAAATAAATTTTATTTTTTTGTTACTTAGTGAAAAATTCTTCTAATAATTTAATTTTATCTGACTCATTTATATTGACAATTCAGACATACATTATACATTTTAAAGTAGACGACTTTAAAGTGATATTGCCAATATTGATGAGTTGCGCTCCTGGGACGACTTTACTTTTACTGATTCCATAGTAAATTATGAGTGAAAAAAACCTCATAATACTACCCCGACATGGATAGTATTTGGTCGTATAAATAAAAATATAAATGATGTATCCTCTATATGTTACTGACTTACTAATGCTGGTATTTTCTTTTTAATAACTTCTTTCAATATGGGTAACCAGATCCTACTACATTTTGCCGAGGAATTTGCGACACAATTGGTGTCATTTAGCATAATTAGAGGCGCTTCTTTGATTTTTCTCTTTTTGCCATCCGTTTCTTTTATGACTATATTTGAATCATTCCATTGAACCCTATGTTCATTATCCCATGCGTGTTTACATATTTGAGATCTATCAAATTCTCTATTTTTAATATAAGATTGATGTTCATTTATTCTAACATTTAATGGCCTTGATGTTTCACCTAAATAAAACTGATCGCATTCACAAGGTATTTTATAAATGCAATTCTTTGTCTTTTCTTGTTTATTGTTAGGTTTGGTTTTGGACAAAATAGATCTCAACGTGTTTGATGTTTTGAATGTTGTTGAAATGTTGAATTTATTTCCTATCCTTTTAAGTTTTTCTGATAATCCTTTTATGTATGGTATTGTTACTTTTCTCGTATTATTACCAAATCTAACAATGAACAAGAAAGGACAAAGAATAGCATTTATAAAATACCTTGCGAATGCGATCAGTTTTATTTAGGTGAAACATCAAGGCCATTAAATGTTAGAATAAGTGAACATCAATCTTATATTAAAAATAGAGAATTTGATAGATCTCAAATATGTAAACACGCATGGGATAATTAACATAGGGTTCAACGGAATGATTCAAATGTAGTGGTAAAAGAAACGAATGATAAAATGAGAAAAATTAAAGAAGTGGCTCTAATTATGCTTAATGAGACCAATTGTGTCGCAAATTCTTCGGCAGAATGTAGTAGGATCTGGTTACCCATATTGAAAGAGGACGTTATTAAAAGGAAAATACCAGTATTAGTACATCAGTAACATATAGAGTATACATCATTTATATTTTTTAAATAACACACATATAAAATCAGAATTTGGTGTTTATTGAAGGTAAGCTATATGCACGACCAAATACTTACCATGTCGGGATAGTATTATAAGGTTTTTTCCTGGTTTTTTTCTCATAATTTACTATGGAATCACTAACAGGAGAATTTTACGGTCATCATGGCATGTGTTTGTCTTTTTAAAGACAAATTACATGCTATGATTTTTTCTGACGGATATTCTCAAGTTAAAGTTGATTTCATGTAATCGAATGAACTATCTTATAAGTAAAGTCGTTCCAGCCCAGTTGCGCTTTGAGCGCAACTCAACAATATCAGCAATATCATTTTAAAGTCGTCTACTTTAAAATGTATAATGTATGTCTGAATGGTCAACATAAATAAGTCGGATAAAATTAAATTAGAAGAATTTTTCACTAAGTAACAAAAAAACAAAATTTGTTTTATTTACTAACGTTTGTATTTTGAGAACGATTTCCGAAGTGGAAATTGAAACGTCAATAAACGTACTTTAGTCTTTAATTGTGGTTTATTCCCATTTAAATAGTAATTACTTTAAAATGCCACAAGAAAATAGCTTCAGAACAATATTTGTGTTATTATTCGTTAATCCTCTCGGTTTTCGCATCTGGGAACTTAAGTTCGTACAATAATCGTCAATGCATGGTTCTCTTGAAGAAGCAAGTATAATTCAAACGAAACGTCTAGTTGAAGTTTCACACGAATAGTCCAAAAGACACTGGCAAAATCGGAAAAAGGAATAACAAATATATGGAATTTATGTCAAAATTACAGTTTACTTCTTTTCATTTAATCCTGTCACCTATAAGAATATGACGTTGCAGATGTTTAAATCGCAACAATGGACGTGGTTTACACCTTTATTTAGCTATCAAAATAAACTTAATCTTTTTAGAAAATGTCGTTTCTTTAGTAATTTTTAATACCTTATTTTGCTGTAATATTCCAGACGTTTGAACCACCCAGTATTAATTGTCAGTCTCGAAAATAATGTATATATGTTCCCATACATTCAGAAACAGCTATAATAAGCATAGTCACTGTCTTATAACTGTAAAGTATGTTACATGTGTTAAGATTAGAGCATATCTGCTTCGGATACAAAATTAAATATGACTGTGTGAAGCATACAGGGTTATTCGTTCATTAATTCTTGTGATATCATTGGTCATTCGAGCCGGATCAATGTATATAATAAAAATATTTGTCGGCAATCTCAGGATGGTTAAAAACACACATAACAGTAAAACTTACTGAATATGATCAATTTCATCGAAATTTAATCAGTCCCATCCATAAATAGTACACTTGATAAAGATGGTTGTCATCCAAATAGCTGTGATTCGTTAATTGGACCACTAGCTATAGCCTGCTTAAAAATTTATTTGAATAACTCTATATACGTTCACTATATTTACATACCAATATGGCGCTTACTTCAAAAAAACTCAAAAGCATTTTGACAAAAACGTTATACTTGCCCGCTACTAAGATATTTACGAGGCATTTCAAAAATAAAAGTTATTTGCCGGACGTTTTCAATATTGTGTTTATAGCAAAATGGAAATGTAATATAAGAGCTAAAAAACCGAAATAATAAAACTAAAAAATTAACTTGTAAGGATATATGCTGTGAATTTTAAATATTATGGAAGCAAATAATAAAATTTGGGATAAATATTTACATTTGAAGAATACTTCAGTAAGATTAAAGCTATGAAGCAATTTGCACTGTTTATAATTCGCATTTGATGCTTTAAGAAACTTGTCCCTTCGTAGATGTATGTTCTCACTATAATGCTCACCATCAAGTGAACGTTGCCAGCTCATTGAGCTACAGAGCGTACTTTTCTTTTGGAAAATCGTCAAAAACGTCACAATTTTGACGCTTTTTGATATCTTTGAACATACTTGAAATCTTCTTCTTCTAGTTCCATGACCGTTATAGATCGTTGGATATCATGTTGGCTACCATATTCGCTATCGTGACTTTATTGACAGCAGCTCTACATAACGATGTAGTTGATTTTCCATACCATTGCCTTAGATTTTTCAGCCATGATGTTCTTCGTCTACCAGGACCACGATTACCTTGGATCTTTTCCTGAATCATCAGATGTAAAAGATCATATTTTTCAGGGTGTCTCATAATGTGACCGAAGTATTCCAGCTTGCGTTTCTTTATTATATTGACCAGTTGTGTTGTTTGGCTCAGCCGTCTAAGGACCTCCTCATTTCTAACTCTGTCGACCCAGCTTATTATATACTTGAAATAGTCAAAGAATTCTACACTATATTATACACCAACCAAATTAACAATAACGTAAATGAAGACGGTAGACAAAAGGTTCAAACCAGGGATCTCAGGACATTCCAGAAATTACTCAAGATGAGATACAATATGTACTCAAAAAAAAAAATGAAAAAAAAATAAGGCACCAGGAGATGATGGAATAGTTACAGAAAATATAAAACTTGGCGGAACTTCTCTTGTGAAAAAATACGAGACCTCTTCAATCTCAGCTTGTATAGTCAAAAAATTCCTATAGCTTGGAATAACTCCATTACAATTCTTCTGCATAAAAAGGGTGACAACATGAACCTAAAGAATTACAGGCCAATTTCTCTACTCAACCATTTATACAAACTATACACCAGAATAATAACCAATCGATTGGAAGCAACATTTGAGCTATATCAGCCAAGAGAACAGGCTGGTTTTCGCCCCAACTACAGTACAAATGACCACCTACAGTGCATAAAAGTCTAGATTGAAAAAACAATTGAATACAATAGACCTCTAGTTCTAACATCCATAGACTTCCATAAAGCGTTTGATACTATCGTACTACCCGCACTTCTAAAGGCATTGAAAGAGTGTCGAATTGATCATAGGTACACCAATATTATTGAAAATATATAGAAGTGCTACAACAACTATAAATCTGCACGGTCCTACCAATACGATACATATCAGGAGAGGTATTCGACAGGGAGATACTATGTCGTCTAAGTTGTTCATTACTGTACTTGAACATGCTTTGAAGTCAGTGGAATGTGAAAGTAAAGGAATAAATATTGATGGTGAGATGCTTAGTCCTCTACGATTCACAGATAATATTGTTCTGATTTCAGATGACCTAAAGGCTGCCAGTGATATGTTGAATGAACTCAGCGATGTAGCACGTAAAGTAGGTCAAGTCTAAGTATTAAAAAAAAATAGCAGAGATAATCAAACTGCTGAGCTGCTAAGAGGAATAACACTGGGATGGGCATCATATGGAAGACTGCGTGATATTTTAAAGGTGATATACCTATCAGCTTAAAAAGAAGAGCCTTTAATATGGCGCAGACACTTACCCTAACAATATATACACGAAAACTAGTGTACGCAACGTAGAATGGAAAGATCATTGTTAGGCATAACGTTGCGAGTTAGGGTAAGAAACGAAGAAATCCATAGAAAAAGTGGTGTAGAAGACATTATAAAACACATGGCCAAAATTAAATGGAGGTGGCAGGACACGTCGCTAGAATGAAGGATAATAGGTGGACCAAAAAAATCTTGGAGTAGAGACCGAGAGCGGATAGACGAAACCAGGGAAGACCACCCACAATATGGACTGACGACATAAAGAGGATTTGTACCAACTGCATTGCAGCAGAGCAGGATAGATCTGAATGGAGGTTTTTAGAGGAGGCCTATGTTCAGCAGTGGACGACTATGGGCTGATGATGATGATGAAAACATTTTTAGTCTTTAAATACAAGGAAAAGTAAAAAGCATTGAAAAAAATCATGGTTTTGCCGATTTCTCGCATTTTTTTATTAATTTGATTTTCGTAAGCGAAATATTACAATAAGAGCTTGCAAAACAGATGTCTGTATTAGAAATTTGTGATGTATGTTTTGTATTTGTGATTTGTAAAAAACTTTTGATTTATTTAACGAAATTTTTGTTCCATTGTACATAAAAATTCCAACACATTTGGTCCATATCGAAATCTCACAGCTCTTGAAGTTTCTTTTTGTTTTTCTTATTACAACTTTTCGGATTTTATACCATAACCGTAAAAATTTTGTAACTCAACTCTAACGTAGCCCGATCCAAGTACCATTCACCACGAAGTTAACGCCACCAGCCCGTTGATCTAGAAGACAAATTTTCTTTTTTTCTTACCACAAATGTTACGCTTTTGAGACTATTCAACTTGAAAAGTTAAAAAACATAAAGAAGCGTCAAACTAGTTACTTAGGGACTTTTTCTTTTTTTTTTTCGTGTTTTTTCTTCATGCCTGTTTGATTTATTGCCATTTCAAAGTAAACTTTCTGTCTGACCTTTCAAACTGGAATGTCAGTGTTACTTTGTGGATTTTAACGAACATTTTGATGCACCATATATAAAAAATTCCGTCCCATCTAAATCTCACAGCATAAGATCCTTCAAAATATTAACATCATACTCCAATAAATAGTTAACATCAATTTAACAAATAAACTAAAACAATTTCCAAAAATTTAAAAGAATATTCACATATTTCATTTGCGACGGCTTTCCTTTCACTTTCACTAAATATCTACACCAAAATAACTATCTTTGTAGACAAATTTGAAAATATTGTCGGCATATATATAAATATTTAAAGGTACAATGGTATATTAGAATCTAAAATCTACAAAACCATTGTTGCCAAATATCAATCCTTTTACTAATAGGTAGCCAAAAAAGAAAAGTCTTTTCAAGTTGGCATATGTGTAATTTTCACAAAATCGATTTTTATTAGCTTAAAAGCACCTTTGAACCTTATATAATTAGGTGAGAATGTTTTGTACCTCTACAACATGTTTTTCTTTAAAATTACTATCTCTAAACGTGTCTTCTCAAGATTCTAGCCCATAAATCTACAAACTTTTTGTGTAAACCAAGGTGAATCGAAATAAGATGGTTTGAAGAAGATAGTTTGATGATTCGAAGACATATGTACCAAAAAAATGTAAATATCTCATCGAGGTATTTGCATTCTTCATGAATGATCAAAAGAAACTCATTTACTATGAAGAACCCAGTGCAAAATGATGTATGAAACGATCTAGAGCTAGATGGAAGATCAGGCAACACCGAGCCCACTAGAAGAATGTGCTTCAAAAGAGTTGAGCTCTTCGACAGCCGTATATAATCACCTGGTAGTTAACATCCAAAACTTTCTATTGCATACAATGATTGAAAAAGACTGCAGTATCATGTTGAAGAACCATTTACGCAAAGAGCATAAGAAAGCAGACATATTGGATGTCTATATAACAGTGTGCACAGAATTTTGTTAAACCAACAATAAGTTAAACAAACTTTATTTCTAGGAGGAAAAGCTAAGACTTTTCTTGTCTCTTGAGTACTTTTTACGCGTGTTTGTGACAATCAGAAAGCTTGAGTTGTTTCAGGAGTCAATTGACTCCTAAATGTTTTCCGTCACCAAAGTAGAAATGGTTTTGACAACAGAAAAGATCGTTTCATTTGTCGGGGACTTGGCAAAAAACTTAACGAATAAGAATTTTGATAATTGTCTCATTCGACCTATTTTCCAAATTTAGCTCCCTGGATATGATCATATGTTTCAAGACCTGTCAAAATGACAACCGCAATGGATTTTCGTCCAATTACGAGGTAATCGCTGCACAAATAGCTACTTCGAGGATTCAACTTCAATAAAACTTAGTTTATTGTTTAAAAAGTGAGTTGACCGAATAGATTCAGCTAGATTGAAAAGTAAAATGCTTTTTGTTCAAAAAAAATGTTAAGATACACCTGATTCATAAAAAAACTAATACGACTCTTAAAGAGTATTTTGTAGTAAATTGAGCAGTGTATTTTAAAGGATAAATACTTATTATTTACATACTGTCACTGTCAAATCTTAAAATTCGTCAGATAACGTATATTGTTCAACTTCAAAAAATGGCTCCATATGCTAGCAATCAATTAAAAGCAAGAATTGTAACGAAATTAGAAGCTGGTTGGTCACTATCTGCCGTAGCGAACCATTTTAACGTAAACAGAATAACAGTATTTAATATTGACCTAAAATATCTACCGTTCATGAAGATCGTAAATCCATTCCTGTAAACTTAAAGAAAAAGGTGTATAACACATGCATACTACCAGTTTGTACCTACGGCTTGGAGACAGTAGCCCTTACCAAAAAATCTGCCAAAAAATCAGAAACAACGCAAAGAGCAATGGAACGAATCATGCTTGGAATATCAGCGAGAGACAAGATTAGAAACACCGAGATAAGACGTAGAAGGAAAATTAGGGATATTGTGGAAGAAATTACAAAAATGAAATGGCGCTGGGCAGGTCGAGTAGCCCGATGTAATGCAACAGGTGGACATGACGAATTCTAGAATGGAGACCAAGGACGGCAACAAAAAGCATGGGAAGACCTCAAAAAATATGAGTAGATGGCATAAGAGCAGTGGCAGGCAGACAGTATATTAGACTGGCGCAAGATAGAGAAAGATGGAAGAAATTGGGAGAGATCTACATTCAGGAATGGATGGAAAGTGGTTGACAAACAGAAGAGAGGTCATTTTAGCGATAAATGTATGGGGATAAGTTTCATCTGGAGAAACGGGAATGGTATGCCGTATTGATGGCAGGTTTGTTGGGCAGACTTATCTAAATATTCTAGAAAACATCATGTTTCCCAGTGTAGAACAGTTCTATCCAGAAAATAATTTATATTGCAACAAAGTAATTGTCCTATTCCCACTTCAAATATAATAAACCAGTGGCTCCAGAATAAGAACACCGAAACCTTACCATGGCCCAGCTATAGTCCAGATTTAAACCCAATCGCGAATGTGTGGGAGATTATTATGAAACGGTTCAAATCTTACGAAGAGTCGTATCATTTTTTTTAGGAACCAGCTGTACATAGTAACTAGTAACTGTAAAAAAATGTGACAATCAAGAAAGTTTTTAGGAAAATTAGACTAAGTTTGTACGAGATTTACATGGTAGGTCCAACAAGTTTCTTGTATATGCCCCGAAAAACTTAATACTGTACTGATAATTACCAGCCACCAACTTGTAAAGACTGTACACGAAATAATCCGAGAATCTCATAAAAATTCGATCTAAAAACCACAGAACCGTTTAAATGTAAGCTACTGTAAAAAATCACATGCAGCACGTCTACTAATTTACTTTTATTTTAGTTTAATTTTAATTTAAGATATTTTAAAAGCTCTTGAATTAAACGATCTATTACAAAAAACTGTTATCACATTTGAATGCTAACTATTAGGACAAGTTTTAGCTAAATAGTTTAGTTCATTACATAAAAAATATTCTAATTCCAGTATGTTACACTTACGATTGGTAATAGAGATTGTGGTTAAATTGTGGCGAGAAAGAAACTTTAAGATCGGGATTTTAAAAAATAATTTAGGATTTTAGGGCTTTATCATGCTTCCATACATCTATAAATGTGTTACAGATCTAAACAATTGTTCCAACGTGCAATGTCATTTGTTTCATCGTACAGACATCATAGAGATATTCGGCAAACAATTTATGATTGTTATAAAACTAAAAATCATATTTTTCACTTATTTTTATATATTATAATCACTGTAGAAAAACTGGGACAAATTTTGATAAAAGTGGATGCTGTACCTTTTCATTTTTATGCAGAGGATATAAACCTGACCATTCCAAAAACGCAACACAGCCAAATCACTGTTGGAGTTGGAGGCACTGAATCTCTGGAGAAAGTTCCTTTCCGATACAGGTTTAATTTCAGAAATACGAAGTGGGACCCATTTATTTAGGACTCATGCATCTAGGAAGACTTTGCCGATATTGTAAAGACAGTGTCACAAAGGCACATCCTTTGAGGATACCGCAGTCAGTTCATTTCAACGACTTAATTACTAATCTGATCACGTCAAATGCAAGGTTTTCTCATGACATCATTCAGGCGGGAAAATATTTTACGAAATGGGGGTATGGGACAAATAAGAATCATGGGCCAAATTATTGAAAGATCTTGACATGAAACAGATTAGCAGGCTGAAAAACCTGAGTAATGACCCTGCTGCACCACATACAGACCTCCCAAAGTAACTCCACACTAAAGAGTTTTCAAAAACTCTGGGGAACTAATTAAAAACCTTAGTAACGATCTAGTTGGACCTCTTCCAGATTTCTCAAAAATAACTATTGAGTAAATAGCTAGTCAGCTATTAGTGAACTGAAGGCAAGAAAATAACCAAGAATTCTTGACGAGAAGAAAAATTTTCTGACCACATCATTCACCCTTGAAGTACTCCAAACTGATTTGCTAAACAGCGAAAGTTGCTGGTTCAGACGACATCAGCACAGCACAGATGAAGCCCTTTTATTCTATTATCCACCAATAGCTCGTAGAAATTATGAACAAGTGTGCTAAGAGCTGAAATTTTTCAAAACTAAAGCCGCAGAAGTCACCAATAAATGCAAAAAACCTTCGCTCAGTCTCGCTACTATATCATCTCTACAAAGTTTTGGAAACAATGGTTCTGGCGAGAATTATCTACATTGTGAAAGAAAAAGAACTGTTTTCTTTGAACTTCCTACAGCTTACATGGTCAACCATCGCAAAGTAGTTGCGAATTTAAAGAGATTCAACTTACAAGCATAATAAGGGTACACTGCACATCTGTATTCTGTATTTCTGCAAAGAAAAAAAGTCAGTGAAAAATCCAAAAGAACGGTTGACCCAAAGGTGACCAGTCCAATGTGTCAATCTCCAGAAGATATATTCCATGCTAACCAATTAACGAATCCTGACAAAACACGTACTTTTTGGATTTCACTGCGCAACAAAGAAGATAAAAGAAATATCTTTGATCCTTGGGTGATAAATTAGACAGAAAACTCTTATTCATACATACATACTCAGGCTGACAGGCTCAAGCTGAATTATGCAAGTTATTCCTGACACTGAAAAAGTCTTTCGAAGCAAGAGGTTTAATCTTGACAAAATTGTTTATTCACAATGCAATTCATTGGACCGGAACCCTTTTGCGGCGTTGCAAAGTCAGTAACAAGAACAGCTACAACGAAGTGGGTAGTTCACAAATCTCTGGAATGGTGGAGGAATTCACCAGGATAAAGACAGGCGAAATAGTTCATTACAGAACATTCGCCAAAATTTACGGCAGACCAGGACTCTGTAAGCTGAATAGGCATTTAAAGCTGATGGAATTATCAGATGATGAGCTGTGCAGATTCTGTCAAACAGCGGAGCATATTGTATGTCAGTGTGACAGTCTGGCAAATGTGCGGTTTTTTGCATTAGGAGGAGAAAATCCACCAGCAAATAGCTGCAAGGAAGGTGCAGTCTCGAAGCTCTTAGACTTTATAAAAAGGGTTAGGCTAGGGAATGTTATCTAGGACTAGAGGACCATAATAAATCTGAAAAGGTCGCAGTGGAATGGGCCAAAAAGCTCTCTAAATCTATCTATCTATCTATCAGGTATAAGAGGTTTTCGCTATGTAGTTTAATTTTAAGCTATAGTTTGTCATATGTCAGCAATTGTAAAAAGTATAAACAAATGTGTAAATAAATAGAACCATGCTTGTCTATCTGGTAGTCTTAAAGTTTCTTTCTGACCTTCCTGTTGAGAAATCGAATTTTTGATCAAAAAGTATCACTTTACAATAACTAACATTATGAAAGAGTCTCCCACCAGACTGTTCGAGAGAGATAGCGAAAATGAAAGTGACTTTTGCGTTTCTTGATCCTTGTTCTTTAACATTATAAATACGACTTGGAAAATAAAAAATAAACTTACCACTATCGGCTATCATAAAAATCACAGATATTTTAACAATTAAAAAAATTGCTTTATGAAAGGCTTTCTCAATGTTGCCTAAAATTAAACATTATTTAAATGCTTACACTAGTAGCATTTTTGGTTATATAATCGGCAGTATTTACTAAAAAACCAAACCAAAGATACAATGAGTATAATAATACATTGATTTCCTGGCTTTTAAGCGTGATGTGGAATTATTTCTTTCTGAAGTTTCGTCTGTGCAACAGTGGAAAAAAATACACCAAGGAACAATTCCAGACCACAGCTTGCAAAGCCGGAAACCAGACAAATTTAGTGAAAGACTTGTTATACTTTCATACCGCCATCTCCCCTTCACCGACAGCTTCCAAAATTTTCACAAACACCGTTTCGTACCCTGTAACAATTTTGTATCTTTCCCAAATAAAAGAACAGTCACAAAAAGATATAACGTTATCCTACAAAATACCAACTTCCCGATCATTCAAAGACAACTGTCCGGATGCTGGCTCTGAGACTTCCTGATCTTTCCCCCTTTCGTATCCGTCTTGATTTGGTCTATACTTATTTTGCGCGGGTTTCCCAAAGTGACGAGCGCGCTAGCGATGGCTAGACCTGCCGACTGGCCTCTGACAGTGTGAGGCTCTCCCCCTAGACACGAAAACATAATTTAAATGTGGTATTTACAAGTTTTCTATAAATGGAGCTTCAAATGATAAAATAAGCAACTACGAGCCCCTTCCCATATCAGTCCACCTATGTAATTTGCAGTTTAAGTTAATTACCATAAACAAATGATACTCTGCATGTTTGTATAAGTTCCCATATTAATTAATATGGCATTTTTATTAATATTTATTAAAAACATTACACTTGTGGGTTTTTATTTATTTTCAACACTAAAAAAATCACTAAACCCTGGCTATGCATTCACTATGTCAACATATCGATGGCCTAACTGCAATACCCCGTATCTGACAATTTTGAGATTTTGAGAGTTTCATTGCATCAGGTTTGTTGGGTTGCCTAACATGTTGTGTCAAAACCCTGTATCATACAAAAAATAAGAAAGCCTTGGAAATTGCTTTTGTTTAATATCCCGTATTGCTCGTCAGAAGACATGCGCATAAAAATATCCCGTATCTGTCAGTTGTACATTGTATTCTTCTACAACCTACACGTGTGTGAGTGTACTTAGCTGTTCAGTGAATTAATTATATTTCAAAGGTAAGTTTTACCACTATTTTTATTAAAAATATATTTCTGCTGGTATTTTTATCAATTTTAAATAACCTAGGATATTATAGTAAGAATCAGGATATTAAGATCGGTAGGAAGACGCCAGAACTCATGGCTGAAAGTCCTAAGGAGATGGTTCGACTGCTCATCCGCAGAAATCTTTCGCGCAGCGTTTTCCAAAACCACAATTGCCATTTGGATCGCTAACCTTCGAAAGGAGACGGCGCCATGAGAAGGAGAAGGATATTATAACTTGATAAAAGGGTCTAATATTGCGAGACCTTACGATACGGGATATTGACTTCTTGTTGTGAACAGATTTGAAAACTAATTTTTAACATTGTGCATTACGTGACTGCTAAAGTAGCGAGATTGATATTTTAGTTTATTTAACCAAAATTTAATCTAAAGGAACTGTTTATAATATAAATCTAGTCTACACTGAGAAAAATTTAAAAATAAAAACCTCAGTTAGGTATACAGGATGTAATAAATATTAGTACACAGAAGAGATTTTTACCCCTATGTTTTATAAACTTTTTGTCTTGTTTTGACTTGCCCTATTATCCATTAAAGTATTTGTGCTTATACCTTTTACAATCTGGATAAGATTAAGTTATCTTAATTGTTTTTTTTTACATGCAGGCAACTCGATCACACTGAATTTTGTCTATGGTGTTAAATCGAAAAGAAAATAATCAACAGCTCCCTAGCAGTACCAAGCAAGTTTCTGAAACTGCTGTATTCACTGAGTTCAGTGAGTCTATAAAGTGCCACAGATGGTACCCTAATACCGATAGAAGGAGATTTTCGAGATACTACTGAGTGGCATGATACTGAAAATAACTTCATTTTGCTGAGCAACGTTCAACAACAAATATTTCAAGATGAAGTCCTCGGTGAAGTCGCACATGAGCACCTTGTAGAAACTGAAAAAAGAACAGAAAGCACTACTTCAAGTCCTGCATATTTAGAACAGAGCAAAATTCAACAGCAAATATTTCAAGATGAAGAAACAGATGTAGAAACCTTGTATAAACAGATTAAGTAACAGAAAATACTAATCCAGATACTTATTTAAAGCAAACTTCTTTACTGAAAATAGGCAATTTGCACTTTAAACCCGGTTCAAGCATCACCTCTGAGGATTCCAATCAAAACGACGACGACTATATTCTTAAAGAATATCCCGATTTTTCGGATAAAACTGCTAATGATGAAGAGAAAACAGACAGTGCGAGGAACTAAAATAAAGATAAACTAAATAAAGAAATTAGAGTAAGACGCAGAAAGTGGAAGGCAGATGTGGAAAACTGGAGCAAGCTGGCAACCAAATCTAAAAGAATGCATGGAGTGGAATACGCTGGTTTCCAAAGAAATAAGGATCGTAAAGTATCCTACGGAATAAAGCGACCAGAGAGAAAGATAGGAGACAGGTGTGTATCTTTAGCATGTACGAAGCCTACAAAGCATTTCTTTGGGCACTTCTCGGAGGAAGAGAGGAATCTTATGTTACGAACTTGTTGGGAGAAAATGGATTGGCAAGAAAAGAAAGCATACATAACAGGTAACATGGAATACACAAAAACAAAAAGGTCATCAAAGGCTGAAGAACCATCAGGAAGAAGTGGAACCTACATATTACTATTATTTAAGGAACAAAACCAATGAAAAAAAGAGGGTCTACAAGAAAATGTTCTTAAATACGTTCGATTTAAAAGAAGACATGGTTCATGATTGGTTCAAAAAGACAGAGCATGGACTTATTTGTATAAGAGAAGAAATCTTTAACACAAGTACGGATCAAAGAAAATCAAATAATTTTAATAAAGGAAAAAGACATTTTCTGGTTGATTGGTTTAACATGCTACCTAAGATGACTTCTCATTATTGTCGCAAGGACACAAAGAAAAAATATTTAGAGACAATTTTTCAGACCAAAGCTCAATTATATAGAGAGTATTTAAAGCACTGTGATAATAACAATCTGAAAAAGTTATCGTACCTATGCTATTTTTGGCCAAATATTTTGCAACTTAAACTTAAGTTTGTACCAGCCAAAAAAAGACTGGTGTGATACCTGTAGCGCATTTGAAGTTAAGAATATCGACTGGGTTGCTTTCGCATCGCACATAGAGAGAAAAAATCTAGCAAGGGAAGAGAAAGCCAAAGATAAAGAAAATGCTATCAACCACAAATATTACACTTTTACAATGGACCTTCAAGCTGTAAAACGCTGTCTTAAACGCAAGTGCCGTATATTATAAAAAGAAACTAACAGTTCACAACTTCACTATGTATAACTCAAAAATCATGAAGCCTCTAATTATTGGTGAGATGAAACAGAAGGAGATCTGTGTGCATCTACTTTGGCTTCCATCATTATACAACATATTGAAGAAAACTGTAATGACCGAAAATTACCTGAAACCGTTATTCTCTGGTCTGATGGGTACTGTTACCAGAACAGAAACTCTACACTTTCCAACGCGCTTCTAAATCTTTCTATAAAAAGTTGCCAAATTATTATTCAGAAATATATTAAGAAAGGTCACACCCAGATGGAGTGTGATAGTGTGCATCATCTAATAGAGGTGAAACTTACAAATCGTAAAATTTTTCTTCCAAAATCATATAACATGTACTGAAGAAGCGCGGATAAAACCAGATCCATTTAAAGCGCAAATGCTCACTAATACATTTTTTAAAAACTATGCATCCTGTGAACTTGCGTATAGAAGTATTCGACCTGGAAGGATAAAGAACGATCGTCACAGGTCTGAGGGTATTAATGTACGATCCAGAGAAAAAACCAATTTTGTTCAAACCCTTACACCGTACAACTTAAACAACCAAAGACTCATTTGCAAGACCTTAATGTACTTTTACCTACCGACTGTACTGTCAGGTACCTAGTGTAGAGTGTAGTGTGTGTGTAGAGTAATTGTCTTGATACTTAGCAAAGTCGACGTCATTGTCTTTGCTAAGAGACGCTAATTGTATCCGAACGTCTGCGGTCCCTCCGGTGAGTACCGATCGCAGAAGGATAGTATGCCTTTTTTAAATTTATTATTATTCTGTTTAATCAATAGTTTTCATTGCGTTATAAAATACTTTCTATAATTAGGAAATTCAAAAATGTTGTTCGATGCACCAAATCTTCTAAAATTTGTGCTGCGATTTTGTTGTTCTCTGAAATTTAATTTTCTTATCAATCTAACGTTGGGCCAACTGATATGGGAAGGGGCCCGTATATTATCACGTTCGCTCGTAAACATTTATTGGATTTATTAATTTATGAAATGAGTAGTTGGATGTAAATAAAAATGAAATTTAAAATTCTACTTACCAGTCGGCAACCTCACCAACAAACTAAGCACCGCAGCTCTATTTCCGTAGCATGGTTCCAAAGCAATCGGGCTGGGTGCGTCTCTCTTCTTGCGTTTGGCGTCGCCCACCATACCATTATTCTTAAAGTCTACGGTCTCTTTCAATTCTAGCTCTACGAGCACTTGTGAGAAGGGACGCGAAGCCATCTGCTCCATCTCGACGAAGAGTCGTTGTCGACGACGGTACATATCGTACCGTTGCTTTATCTTCCATAGGATGGCTGCCACCAAAAGTAGTAGAAGAAAACATCTAAGGAATAGAAAAGTTAGTAGAAAAATCATCTCAACAAACTCATCGATTGTCCACGACCTTATCTAAGTGAAACCACCAATTTGCAATTCCAAGTATGTCCCAGATCACAGGTCATGAGATAGATTTTCAAAATTCCACACTTCATTTCATTAAACTAAAAGTCATTCAAGACGCAATTAAGATAGAAACACGTCCCGATTGTCTTAACAAAAGAAATGACACCAGATTACATGAAACAATTTTCTAAATCACTATAAAGCTCTTTAAGTTCGGTTAACTTCTTTATATCACCCATCCCTTAATCATCGCCGATATACAAAAGCATTATCTTGACATAAAAGAACTCGTGGTACTAGTAACAGTTGTAGTGACGTGGATTATGTTTTAAGAAGCTCCAAACTATCCAAACTAGTAAAGTATACCATGCATTGCCGCATTCGCTTTCATTAACTGAAAAACATCCAATAAGCCAGTGAGATTAAAAACCCTCCCGATTGTCCCAGCAAAATAAATGATAGCATCCGATTCTATGGAGATCTTTTTCAAATCACCATAAAGCTCTACTGTCATTTCTATCCAACTTCTCCGCGCCACCCCCACTAAATTATAGACTGTATAAAAGAACTAGTTTGTCAGAAAGCAAACCGTACTGCTACAGAAGTTAAATGAAATAAGCACTATAATGAGGGCCGAAAACTAACTCCTGAATATGATAGATATGTATGTTTATTGACAATTTTTACACAGTAAACACATGTCATGTCACAATATAAATATTGTATACAAACTTAAATGTGTCGACTGCCCAAAACTTATATCGGTCGAACTGGCAGAACTTTTAACAAACGTATAGAAGAACATAAAAGGGCTTTTAATAATAGAAAAACAGATTCTACGTACTCACTTTACCTTCTAGACCACAATCATTTTTTTAATAACGAATTAATATGGAAATTAACAAATTAAAAAACACACATAATTCTAAATGACCAACTTTAGACAAACAGTTCTCCCCTCCTCAACCTATTTCGTTAAAGACTATAATGTGTAAACACATACCAAAAATAGATCACTTGAGAAAGGCACTGTGCCAAAACAGCTGTACTGATATCTAATAAATTATAATAAATTTTGTGGAAGCGACGATTAGCATTACAAAGGAAATAATGGTATCAAAATTAAATAAATATATACTTACGAAGAAAATGTGATGAAGAATTGTTGCAAGTTCAACTTTGGGTACTGGCTAAACGAAATCTGTATCCATAGCGGCGTCTGGAAGTCGTAAACATAAACATAAAACGTCGTCAGCGTGACGTTCGCGCCGTGTTCCGCGCCGTGTTCCACGCCGAATTTATACAGAGATTTCGAAAACTTCGATCTGAACGTCGTACAATTGTGATTCTCGAAGATGGCTTTTTCTTCCGAGTTCTCGGTTCTCACTGTTATGTTCATTTTGGCCATCACGGAACACGTTATCAGAAAATCAGCGTCTATGTCCGGTTTAATCGGAGAATTCCTGAAGTTTATTTCGGTGTAGTGTCTGTCTTCTTTCTTGGATAGGTTGAAAGTAAATTGGTAGTCTATGGTTAATTCATCTGAAATGTGGAATAAAACAAATTTTATGTAAAAAAACATGCAATAATTATACAGGGAACTAAAAAAATTGGTCTCTTACATGAAACGTTAAAATGCAGTTCCAGTGTTTCAACGTTTTGACTCAACAACACTATTTAGATTCCAGATGACGTTTCAATTAGACATCATGTGATGAAACGACTTCAATGAAGATAGAGCCCCAATATGAACTAATAGAAATTGTTAAAAGAAATAATATTTAACGCAAGAGAACGAGACTTCTCAGTTACTCAGAAGAGTATGCTTAGGATATGAGATATATTAAATAGAAAGACAGTTTTCCATGAACTACCACCAACAAGAAGACGCTCAATTTGAAGAGGAGATCGAAAGACTACTACACAAAACCGACAAAAGCAGAAACTCCACCACTGAAACACACATCCCCAAAAAAAAACATGACCGAAGAAAGCATCTAGACCGAACGCCGATAACCAACAGGACTCTAAGATACCTCCAATCGAGAGCAATCATTTACTTGACCAACATAATAAATGCACTGATGGAATTCAGAAGATTCTCCAATCGTTTGAAAGAAGCCAATGTGATCACAATCCATAAACCAATAAAAAAAGGTTTTGTCCAAAGACCTACAGGCTTATAACCTAATAAGCTTACTGACAGCAGTCATAGAGTGATACTCTCAAAGCTAGAAGAGAAAACAGAAAGAATACGGGTTTTACCAGTCCAATTTAGAGCCAAACACTCAAGCAAACACCAGTCAGACAGGCTTACCGAATACATCACAGCAGGCTTCAACGATAAATAGTACACCAGAGCATCTTTCCTAGACGTGAACTACGCATTCGATAGAGTCTAGTACAAAGGACTGATCTACAAAATGAAGCACAATAGATACAGCAATGCCGTGACAGAGCTACTCTTTTCGTATCTTGCCAACCGAAAATTCAGGATTCGCATAGGACAAGGTGTACCGCGAGGAGCTGTTCTGTCTCCGCTGTTGTATACCATATATGCAGCCGACGTCCCCGGAACGCCAAGCACCATAATCAACCTTTATACGGACTAAAGCACAGAAACATTTTAAGTCAATCACAGAAACTAAGACATGGCAACCAGGATCCTTCAGGGAGCACTAGATACCCTAGAATGGTGCATATAGCGGAAAATTGTAGTAAATCAGGAGAAGACCCAAGCAGTAACGTTTAAGAAGAGACACGGCAGTACCAACGGAACAACTAGAGATGGTCGACACTCCCATCAGATGGTCAAATAAAGCAAAGTATCTCGATGTCACCACGGACAAGGGAGTCACGTTCAAATCCCTTAATAAAACAACAGTACTAAAGGGAGGAAGATGCCTTTTCAGAAACAGGAATTCGCCGAACTAATGAACCATCCCAACCACATCCTGCGAGAGATCATAATCCTGCGAGGATCCGGGGAAGATCCTATCACGATGAAGGCAAAAACCTTAAGAAGAATTACCACCAACTGATTAACGAGATGTAGAACAGAGACAGGATAGCAAAATCTAGAGGAAATATGTTCAACAGTTGACAATACAGTGCTTATTGATGATGATTGCTCTTTCTAGCTTGCTTCCTCTCTTGTTCTTCCCGTAAAAACCATTTTATGTCAAGAATAGTTCAAAATTTAGCTATTTTCTACTATACTTATAGTAACAGTTAATAATTAAATTAAATTAATTAAATTTTTGATCAGTTTTAATATTGCGACTAAAATAACGCTATAATACAACTAAAATCATACTTACAATAACAAGATTTGTTGTTCGGATCCGGATGGTAGTGGTTCCCGGTATCGCACTTCTCGCATTGCTCTCCAATGATTCCTTTGGTCGTACAATAACACTTCCCCGTTTCTCTGTGGCAATCGTCGGCTTGTTTGTTGCACTGGCAAGGCGAGCATTTGCCTCCGTTCACCGGGTTGCCCCAGTAACCTTTTATGCAGTGCTCGCAATGCTTCCCGGTGGTTAGATTGCTGCAGTTAAGGCAGCTGCTGGTGTTCTCTTTACAGCTCGCGTGACCGTTACACTGGCATTGAGGACAGTGGGTGAAGTGCCAGCGTTCCGGCGGACAGGTGGAAGATGGTAGAGACTGAGTGTGCAGAGTTGGACCTAAAGTGTTTTTAAGAGATTAATTTCAATTAAAAAAGTTTTTTAACTCATTTATGCCCAACCAAAGGGTCGCTAACGATCTAACCAACAAAAATGTATTCCAGACAAATGTGTCGCTGTTTGTTGTCAAGTTTACGTTTCTCTTTATGTAAGTAAGCACTTTGGTGCAAACTGTTTAGTGTTTGTAGAGTGCAAATCAAAGTAGAACTCGATTAATTATTATTGTTTAATTAATTTTGTGTATGTACGTATGTATTATAATATGTTAGCACAAGTTGTGCTAACATATTATAATAATAGTAAGTAGTATGAAAATAAATATTGAAGAAGATTACATTGCAGAAGTGACTTTGGAGGTGAAACATGTTAAACATTAGACATAGTGAAGGCAATGAACTGACACTGACATTTTTACATTTGTTTATTTTTTGTTGTTTCCTTTTTCTTATAAATAAGTTTAAGTTTTCTCTCTGTTATCATCACCATTATCATCTTTGGCTCGACAATCCTCTGTGGATCTTGGCCTGCTCTAAGATTCGTCGCCATTCTGTTCGATTTCTGGCAACATGTTGCCATCTTCTGATTTTTAAAATCCGTAAGTCCGTTTCAACTCCATCTAACCATCTAATTCGCGGTCGGCCTTTGCTTCTTCTTCCTACAGGTGTTCCTGTGGTTAGCTTTTTAGTAATCGTATTTTCTGGCATTCGTCCAGCCCATCTAAGTCGCTGTGTTTTAATGAACGTTATGACATCTGGCTCATCAAAGAGCTGATACCATTCAAAATTATATCTTCAGCTCACCTGCCCTTTGTCGTTTATAGCTCCAAATATTTTGCGGAGTATTTTACGCTCAAATTCATGGATCAAATCAAAGGATCTAGAATTCTCTCCCTGTATTCTAACAGTGGCTTCTAAGTTAGACATTGTCATTCTCGTTAGTCAGATAAGTTTCTCTGATATACCAAACTCATGCATTGATTGGTATAGCACTGTTCTCTTGACACATGTCATATGCGGCCTTGAAGTCGACGAATAGGTGATGGGTTTCAATATTGAAGTCTAATGTTTTCTCGAGAATCTGTCTTATTGAATGAATCTGGTCAATTGTTGATTTTTCTGGAGTGAATCCAGCCTGATATTTACCAACTATGCCCACTGTGTAAACTTGCAGCCTTTCGTAGAGAATATTTGCTAGTATTTTGTAAGCAGTTGTTAACAGGCTTATACCTCTATAGTTGTCACACTGTCACCTTTTTTATGTAACGGGCATATCACGACTTGAGACCATTCACAAGGCATGGTCTCATTATGCCAAACAAGAAGTACAAGCTTATGCAGTGTCTGTAGTAGGGCATCGCCACCATTCTTGTAGAGCTCACTGCAAATTTGATCAATTCCTGGTGATTTATTATTTTTAAGCTTTTTAATGGCTTGGGCAACGTTTTCGATGGTAGGTGGTCCTTCGTTTGGGTTGAAAGGATTCCAATAATTTCGATTTGCTAGGGTGTTATCTGCTTCTTCGATATGATGGCCATTAAATTTTGCATCGAAAAATTCAACCCATCTGTTGAGGATTGAGGCCGTATCATTTAGGATGTTTCCTTCTACATCCTTACAGCTCCTTATTCTTGGCTTAAACTCTTTGCGCATTTTGTTTAGATTTCTGTAGAACTTTCGAGTTTCATTTTGATTTCTTAGCCATTCTGTGCTTTCCAACTGCTTTTGCTCAAATTGTCTTTCTCTCTGTTATATAAATACTAATAATGATAATCTCTGTACATATACAAGTTGTTTGAACAGTTGAACCTCATTTTCATAATCAAAAATTCTTGTGTTGAAAAAAAAAGAAAAAAAATGTGTTAAAGTAATAATTATATTAGTGTTTATTATAATGTTTATTATAGTGTATATTATAATAAATAAATAATATTATATGTTGATGGGTCGCTAACGACTCATCGATCACATGACATATAATGAGAAAATTTTTGTCAGTAAAAAACCACCATCTACTGCAGAAATTCTGGAGGAAATAGAAAGTTACTATGACTATAAATAAAAAAATCATTACTCACCGGTATATCCTCCAGGCATGCACGTTCCGAGTCCAGTTCTGGATCCGTCGTCGCACCAACCACAAGCTGGGTCGTCTTGACATTTGGAACAAGTCTTATAAAACTCGCATTGCGAGTTCTCGTCACTCCCCCTCGATCTACACTTCGTGTGAACGGTCGTCCATTCTCGGCATTGTCCATACGGGAAACTTGATGTGTAAGCATTTTTATCGACACATCTACCTTCGTTCTGACACCAAATGCACTCTTCTTGAGTACAATTATAGCAAGCGTTGTATTCCGAACAGACGTTTTGACATTGATTCTGTTCCACTGCTTCTGCGGAGCTGCTGCTGTTGGAGTAAGCGTGCGGGACGCATTTGGCATGTTCGAAACGCCACCTGCAAGACGGCTGAGAAGTACAAGCTTTGCAAGTGTGCAACTGTCTACAAATCGGAGCTGGGTCCGGTGAAGGGCACATGGCTGATTTAGCAATTGGTGTTAATTCTGAGGAGTTCGTGCTTCCGTTTGCACTTCCCTTGGTGCACTTCTTACTTGATGGAATACACGCAGATCCGCACCACACGCAATCACTTGTTGTATGGACGCAACTTAAACAATCATTCATCTCCTCGCATTTTCTTTCTTTCCTGATTGTTATTGAAGTACCAGCAGATCTGTTGAGTTTCGGGCATTTTATTATATGGCTTTCTTCTTTTTTGAGCACCAAATCTTTGGGAACCTGGCGAACAGGTGCGCAAGAACCCGATTTTGAATCCCAAACGCACTTGAGCCCGGATTTGCTCTTTAAACACGAGGTTTCGTTGATATATCTACAATCCCCCGGAGTATACCTCAACATATCTGACAGCATCTGACCATCAAATCCTCCATAAATGTACAAAGATCCCTCGAAGACTACAGCAGAGTGTCCAAATCTTGCCAAATCGGTACGTAAATCGGTTGGTACTTTCATGGTATGCCAGGTGTCGCACAAAACGTCATAGGCAAGCAATTCGTTACTGTAACATTTGGCACCAAAGCTGTGTGATGTATCGTTATGGGTATTTCCACCAAAAATTAACATTAAACTGTCTGAAACAAATGTGGCTGTATGAAGAAATCGCGCAGATGGAGCGTCTGCAAGAAGAGTCCATATCCTCTGGTTTGGCTCGTAGGAATAAAGACTTTTGCTTAAATATTGAGAAGACTCACTTTCCGAAACAACACCACCATATACGTAGATCTTTGCCGTCAAGGGGTCCCAACTGGCTGTGTGTCCGTAACCACCTTTCACTGGGTAGCCCTGAGTGTTCACTATATGCCATTCTCTGGTACCAAAGTAGTACTCTTGGACAGTATTGAGGTATCCTAAGCGTGGAGAATGACCGAATATCACTATCATTCTATCTACTTTTTTATTATAGTTGTTTATCACTACGGTGGCCGTATGGCCAGCAGACTTAAGAGGACCGCACATTATATAACTGTCATTACACGAATCAGCCTTAACTGTTATGTTCTCCCAGGTTTTGGCACTAATATCGAAAGCCCATAGTTCAGATGTGGGACCCCTATTGCCGTCTACACCGCCGTAAAGAAAAATTTTGTCGCCGTAAAGGACGGTTGAATGACCATACCTAAGGGACGGGCTCTCTGCTATATGTAAAGTTTCCCAAACATTACCTAAAAAACAACATCGTTAACCCTCTAAACTACTTCGTAAATTTTAACAGTTTACCATTAAAGTCATACACGGACAGCAAACTTCCTCTGTTATAGCTTTCTCCGGCAATTATATACATAGAATCCCTCCAGACGGCAGCACCGTGAGAAGCAGACCCGTTGGGCGTAAACGTCTGGACTGTGACGGTTTCCCAATAGCCTTCACTGGCCAATTGGCTGCAATCGTCTCCTTTGTAGTTACCGATGCAGGCACATCCTTTTTCCGGTTCGCATATGCCCCTATCTTCGGAAGCGCCGCAATTGTTGGGGCATTTTTCAAGATGACAAGCGGCTCCGTCCCAATGGCCGTCGCAAGTGCATTCTCCGTCTATGCAGATACCATGGTCCGAACAGTTGTATCCAGACACCTAACAAAATTATAATACCAGAATAAATGCACACAAAATGTAATAACCAAGTGTTCAGACAAATAAAAATATAGCTAGCACAACTTCTTCCTGAAGTTTCCTCTATATGATACTAAGGTAAATGAACTAGTACTCCACACTGTATTAGTTAACTAGTGTCTTCTATACATCTTCTCTGTAACTATAGAATTATTTAACCTTGAAACAGAAAATTCCCACCAAATTTTATCAGAGTGTTGTGTGAACTTCAAGTGGCAACCAGTTTTCTAAACAAAAGTATTAAAAAGGTAAGTTTTAAAAAAATCTTAGTTTTCTTCTTGTTTTGAGGTGCTTATGAAGGAACTGAGTAAACAGAATCCCTTTAAAGATGACAAGCCAGGAAGAACCTGCTTTACTGGATTCTTAAAAAGAAATCCCGAAATAAGTAACAGAGACACTCAAAATCTAACATCCACAAGGTCAGTGGTAACAAAAGAAGCCATTCAAAAATGGTTCAGTGAAGGTTATAATTATTTTAGAGAGATCAACTATGAGGAGGTTCTTAATGACCCAAATCGAGTATTGAACGCAGATGAAACTGCATTTTTCCTTAACCCCAAAGGAAACAAAGTATTGGCAAAACAAACTTAACAAAGTGACAAAACTGTTTACCAACAAATAAATCCCGATAAGAAAGAATGCCTAACAGTTCTTATAACAGGTAATGCTGCTGGTAAACTAACATCACCACTGGTCATATTTAAATATGAGAGAATTCCAAAAGATAGGTAAAAAGAAATAAAATAAGACTTGCAATCAATTTAATTTTACCACCAAAACGACCACAAAAATGATAGAAAAATTTCGGAAAGTTTTTGGAAAGTCACACTAGTCCCACTAGGAAAAATCTTCAACATAATAATTTTGCTATTATTCAAGACACTTGTGCTTCTTCATCAACACCATCATAAGTTCCGTCTTCAGCAATTGAAGATTTACCTATACCTTCTACATCAAATGAAATTATACCCTCTCCTTTTAAACCAATATTGTTTTGGCATGAACCCAGAGGATCCTCAGTGGAAAAAGTTTCTTCTGTGGCTAATTCAAAGGAATGGCAAACCTATCATGAAAATACCGAAAATAAGAAGTTCAAACTTCTTGAAGAAAAACCGAAAAGAGCAGAAGAGAGACCCAAGAAAAGAGAAAAAAAAACTTTGTTAGAAAACAGAAACCGAAAGTAAAAAAAAATAAAGTTCGTAACAAAAAGAAGAATCATAAAGTGATGATAATGAATCATGGGTTGAATCTGGTAGCAGCCTTGATGTAAAGAAGAAAATACTGATCATGTAAATTACAGTATTGTGTGAATTAATGTGAACAGAGATCAAAATTCAGTTTTCCTAAGTTGACACACCTGCTGTGCCTATTCTGTCAACTGTTTTGTTAAAAAAACAACATAACCTCAAAACCTTATTAGTATATTGTTCAAAACATGTGCTTTGTGTTTTATATCATTATTATATTTTGTTGTATCTCAGGTTATGTGCAAGTTGGTGTTATTTTCATTGATTTAACTGTGCAATCAGGTTTAACTTTTTAATATGGATATCACTCCTAGAAAAAGAGAAAGGATCATAACACTTAGTGAGCATATACTAATGACTCAGAGGGATATTGCAAAGGAGTGTTGTGTAAGTTTGAGTGCAGTAAACAAAATAATTAAACAAAAAAAGGAAACAGGGTCAGAAGACTACTCTTCGAGATGAAGCCTTTCTTTTGCGCGATATCAAACTTCAGCCCAGAAAAGCAAGTTATGACCTCCAGCAAGATGTATAAAAGGCTGGAATAAAAATTCACGCATCAACGGTACGCAGACGTCGCAGAAGGGGGAAAAGAGCCTCGAGACCGCAGAAGAAACAACTTCTGACAGTGTCTATGATGAAAAAAAACTAAATTGGGCAAAAAAATATGCTCATTGTAGTACAGAAGATAAAGTGGTATTTTCTGATGTGACCCACTTCCTAGTGCAGGGCCAGCGATCCAAATTCGTACGAAAGGCAGCCAATGAGTCACTTTCAGCTAGCCATATTAACCAAACAGTTAAACATCCTAGCAAAAAATGTTCTGGGGATGTTTTTCATACTCAGGAACTGGCACTCTTATTTCTATTGAAGGTATGATGAACAGTAAAAAGTACAAAGTCATGCTATGGCAACGTTTAGCTATAGAGCTTGTCATAGTACAGGCCGAAGGGACTGCAATTTTTCGACCAGATTCAGCTCCGTGCCATGTATCCAAGAATAATAATATTACCCTTCTTGATTGGCTCGAAATTTACCTGAAATTAATCCTATTGAAAATTTGTGGGCAATATGTAAGGTCAAACTGCAAACATTTGACTGTACGACAAAAACAAAAATGATGGAAGCAGTGATTAAGGTGTGGTTTGGAGATAAAGCAATCACAAACAATTGCAAAAAAACTTGTGGATCCCATGCCTAGAAGACTCCAGGAAGTCATAAAAGTAAAATGGGGACATAGTAAATAATAATTAATGAAAAAATCTCATTTAAGTGTACTTAAATTTACCTTTGGCCTAAATAAATCATATTTACAAATTAATTCTGTTTGATCACATTAATTTGCAAAATACTGTATCTGGAGCGTGAGTGTTTACTTGCAAAATTCCCTGGAAAGAAAAAAGAATATAAATTTGTAAGTGTAATACAAAAAATTTTCAATAATTGTGAAGCAGAAGTTATGGGTACGAATTATTGTGATGACAGTAAAACTTCATTTCGAATTAATGATAAAGATGTGAGCATAATAACATTTCACCAAATCATAAAAAGGATGCCGCCCCAACCTCAGATACTCATTATCAGAAAGCCTCAGAAAGAATAAATTATTATCAGTTTCCAGATTCAGTGGACATAGATGGCTAAATTTCATAGAAAAATATTTAGAATGCACAATTGTCCAAAAATTTAATTTGTTAAATATTCAGGAAGGATTAGATTACCTGAATATACATATATTTTTTAGCAAAGTTCAACAACATCGCTTTGAGGCTAAATAATAGTTTTTTTTTCTTCTTAGAATGTCAACTACTAGTATGTTTACCTTAACCCCATACAATATGTCTAATATAAAATTTTATAAAAAAAAGTGACTATACCAAATTAAAATTTATAAATTTATACACAGTGTACCAAAAAAATCAACAAAATAGGGCTAAAAATAAAAAAATTGAAATACTTTGAATTTGACCAAAAATTTTCTGTTACGTTTTTTTTTTGTATCTTAGTGAATATAAATGAAATCATACTTACTGTAGATGGACAAGAATTCAGCCTATACGTGACATTAAAGCCAGACATGTTGTAAGCATCGTCGCTGAAGAAATGTATCAATGCAGCTCCCGATTCAGCTATAACCTCCGGTATCCTTCTAATACTATATGAGTCCTTATACATTAGCCCACTAAATACTGCTAACAGCGGTGAATCTACACTGTCGCCATCGTAAACGTAGAGGTGATCCCACCCGCATTCGGTGGCAAATTCTTCAATGTGAAGGGTGATGGTTGAGTTGGGGGCGTCTATCAACCAGCTACATTTACTGGTGAGGGAGTAATTGCCTAGACCGTCGTGTATTGTTCCTGTAGGTCCACCAAGTCTGAAAGTCATAAAAATCATCAATGTAATCGATTATTTTGTAATGGGAAAGACTGAAAACTGCAAATTGACAGATCAAAATTAATACAAACCAGAAAAGTTATGGATAAACCAGTTAGAATAAGGAATATATTAAAAATAGCTTCTTGGAATTGTAGTGGATTGGGATCAAAATAACAAGAAATAAAAGACAAACAGAAAAATCATAACATAAAAGCTGGCATAGCCGAAATAAAAAAGAAACTTCAAGTACAGCATCAACAAAAGATCAAAAGACTTTCTAATGACTGGATATGAAGAAGCAGTAGACACCAAAATCCTAGAATGGATCGTTTAAATGGCAATAACTGTCTCTGTCAGATATTGACAATGTATACCGACTGTGTCAATGATCAATCAGAATCAAGATTACAATATTCCTAAGAGTGACGAAGAAGATGTGTCGACAAATCTTGTTGCATAAACACAAATGTCAATTGTAGGATTAATTTAGTACTTTCATTGAGATTTCATTTAGAAGACTTTTCCTGTAACGTATCTGTCGCCAACAAAATACAATAAATGAAACCCCACAAAATGAATATATGTATGATTTGTGTGCTATCATACATTCCCAAATAAATTATAACAATATAACAACTTGTTTTTTTTTATTTCTTAATTACCTTAAAATGGCCTTTTCAACGACCCCAAGCAGTACCTTTTTAGAAAAAAAATTTGGGAGTAACTTTTCACTCCCCCTGTAGAAGTAAAAATACAATAACCGGTTTTAAAAATGTGTGTCATAAATAAGATACACTTAGTGAAACAATTCCAACTATTTATTAATATTTGTGCTGTAAAGATACAAAATGAAAATAAAATCCCTTACAAAATAACTGGTTTTAAAATATTATCTAGTACCAGACAAATATTTGAACAAGAAATGTATTGAATTTGTTTTTGATACAGAAGTTATAACAAAGCTCAACTGTTTATAAAGCATAAATATGGATTTAATTATTATTTATTGTCTAGTATTTTTAAATAAAATCAACCTTCTACATACAAATTACAAATAGAATACAAAAAAAGTACATATAGATTTAAAAAATGATCAAAATCGATCACCAAGTTCTGGATGTATAGAAAATTGTAATATTCTTGCAGTAGAATTTAATCTTCTTAATATTGTGACTGTGTTCTTAATGTTGTGACAGTTTTCACTTTCAGTATTGAAGTGATTGTTTTGTAATTCTAATATCAAGTTTTATAAGAATAAAAGCCTGCAAAATGAACAGCCTTAATATGAAGACCAATGACACAGTGTGGTCCATAACAAAACAACCAATAGTAAGTAGAAGAAAAAGAAAAGATGCTGGTATGTTTAGGAAACTAGACCAGAGTAATGTGGGGATTGTTAGAAGAAAAATTTATAACATGTATGAAGAACAGATGGTCCCCATGTTAAAAACCATCATGCAAAAGTTGCAGAAAGATGACACATAATTCAAGTGCTGCAGTGAGACATTAAGGCAATGTGAGGACGGAATTTTTAATTCAAATTCATAAATACAGAGAAAGTGAAAGAGAAATTGTTTATCTGGATGAGATGTGGTTTGACATCCATGACAATTCAAAATATGGTTTTGGGCAGATTCTTCTGGTCGCTGTACAACAAAAGCTCCATTACTTAAATAAAGGAAAATGTATTACAATAATCCATACAGGAACAAAAAAATGTTTTATACCTAATGCTTTTGTTGTCATTTTGTGGAAAATAGAGGTTTAAAACCCTTAAAAACCAAAAAGTATGCTCTCTTGATATTATCTTGTCTAAAGATGAGGCAAAGCAAAATAAACCACTTTTAGGGTTAAAATAAGACAACAGGTACAGTTGAAAAGAAACTCAGCCACAGGGAGAGTCTGTGGTGGTGACAGCATCTGCAGGTCCATCCTCAGCTGATGTACTCACTCCTTCAGCGGATTCGTCTTCTTCTAGGCCGTCCTGATCCCATCTGCCATATCAAACGGGGTTTCGTAGGCCAGTGTGCCTACATGGTTACGATCACATATCTGTAGGGAGGCTTAAAAACAACAAAATATGCTGTCTTGATATTACCTTGTCTTTACAAAGACAAAAATAAACCACTTCTAGGGTTAAAATAAGACAACAGGTACAGTTGAAAAGAAACTCAGCCATAGAGTCTAGGAAACAATACACAGAGCCCCTAGAGCTCTATACACTAGGGGAGCCCGATAAGGACTGATCTGTCTGGCTTGAAAATCCCCGATATTTATAAGTGTTTACTATTTATATGGTATTTTCAGATTAACCAGCCAATAAGAAAATTCGAGGCGGGGCGATGTGCATTGGAGTGCGTACTAGTTCTCAGACTATTGCACTTGATGATACTTTAGCCTTGTCATGCAAAAACATTAAGGACTCCTGTGTTGTCTATCATGATGACACCATATCAGAATTATTTGAAAACTGGTTTTCAACTAAGTTATTGCCAAATTTACCACCAAACAGAGAAATTGTGATGGACAATGTCAGCTACAACAGTCGTAGGCCTAATAAAGTTCCATGTTCTAATGACACCAAACTTAGAATCCAGGAATATATGCTGGAAAATTATATATTATGAAGGTAATTATTCTTAAAAAAAAAACAATTACTGGAAACTTTAAAATCATTTTTCATCAGAAAACAATATTATTGTGACAGTTTGGCGGAAGAAATGGGTCATACAGTATTAAGACTTCTCCTTACTATTGCACGTTCAATCAGAGTGAACACATATGGCATGAGCTAAAAGCTTTTATAAGGAGAAGTAATGTTTCGACCACCCTAAATTCATCTGTGGTTCATCTAAATAAATTAGAAATGGAGAAAATAGCCAATGACAGCTAGAAAAATAGTGTTACCCATGTTCTAAAGATAGAAAGATCTTATATAAATACAGATAGGTTGCTCAAAGAAAGTTGATAATGGTATAAAACTAGCTTTTAGACACACCTCAGTTTTGAAAATAATTTTCTAAAATATTTTTGCCTCTCTTCTTTTTATACTCTATTTGGAAATGATAAAGTTTTGTGAAAATGTAAATGTAGTGTATGTAAATATTTTTGCAACTATTATAACTTTAGTAGACAATGATAAAGACAGGCTTATAAACACACCTTACAATCGAACAAGGAATTCAAACAAGCAAATGGAAAATAAAAGTATGATCCTGTCCAGAGGCGATCCCCTCTGCCTTGCGATAGACACTTATCGATAATAAATATTAATGACTATCTTAGATCTCTGGTAGGATTATACAACCATTCATGGAGTTGGAGCATATTAGTCAACTATGGGGCTTCACTTAAGCTATTAATATAGTACTCAGAGATTCATCAAGAATCACAAGTTATGACATGAAGGATATATGCAATTCTGAGCATGTGGCCATTGCAACACATTTTATTGTATCACAACCTTTTATTACAACCTGTACATGGTTTATATTTCATTATATTTTATTTTATTTAAAGGAACAAATCTTTTAACATGTTAAAATATCTGCAATTTGTTAAAATTTCTGCAATTTATATACCATGTATATGTGAAACAGTTTGTATACAATCTTTTGAGTGATTTCGTTTTATTGTTACTGTCTAACAACACACATTTGTCAAAAGCCTTTCTCTGTGCTTGCTAACAGTATAATATAGCACTATCTTTTAGCCTTTCAATACACTTAGCGTATTTAATACTTAAAATTAAAATATATGAAAGAAACATCATGACCTTCAGCACTTTAAATTTTGAAAGAATGCCTAATTTTCTTTGTTAAAGATGTTGGATAGGCCAAACTAAGCTTATTTAAAATCAATTTTATTTAACACCAAGGTGATCACACTCGATGTTTATAAATAAAGTACAGTTATTTTGTGGCATTGAGATAAGTGGGCCATTAGAAAATGTAAATTTTTAGCACAATTATCTGAGGTAGATTAATAGGTAAAACAAAAATCCCTTTACCTGACTTTTCCTCCGCAAAACTGGCATTCGGGGCCCTGCCATCCGTCGCTGCAGACACAAGTATTATTCGTGCAAATGCCATTGCCATTACAGCTAGGATTGCTGCACTTTGCATACACATTAGAAACTAAAGACAGAGCACCAAAAATTACCAAACAACATAGTGTAGCCTTTCTAGCGTAATATTTTCGTCGATATTTAGATTTAAATAAAAATAAAAACATTTGCAAAATTTCTATCATGTTTCTTTCATTCTCATACGTCACGAACAAAAACTTTAAAATTCACATTTTCAAACTGTTAGAAAAAAATAGTCTTGAATAATAGCATTATACAACTAATGGAATGATATTACGGTGAAATAATTAATCGAAAATTGATAAATACAGTAAAAAACAGTTTGCACTTTGATGTTAAGTGTATTTCATTATTTTGACATTAATGGCAATAGATGTGAAATGTCACCACAAATGTCAAAACTGACAAAATGTTACCAGGAAATATCAGTGTTCTGTGCTTAAAAATAAGATTTTGAAAAAATTCTAGTTTGTTTTAAATAATTAATGCAAGTTGATATTTTTTATCACGTCATAATAAAATTTTATGTTAATAAAAAAATGTTTGTAAAACTTCCAAAAAAATTAATTTACTCGATCTATTACTAACTTAAAATTTTAATAAAATTAAAATTATTTTTTTTAACGTTAATGATGAGGCTTTATAGTTGATTGGTTGGTTAACAACGCTGTCATTAAAATAATTTGCTAGCATTTTATTCTTAATTTAATCATTTTCATAGTAATGACATTGTTCTCATCCACACGATAGACAACCAGTCATACGTAATCTTATGTATACAGAGTGCAGTACGTCATATTATTCTGCTTATTATGAACCCCTCCATTAGTTTGTCATAATTAATAGAGTTATTTATAATAACTCTTTCTATAAAAAGTAATGATAAACTATTTAATTTTTGTTGGCCTAATGTGATTTTAATTTTTTTATATTTTGGCCATTACTAAGAATGATCTTTCACTGCTTGCATTGCTTATTGGAAGGGTTAAATACATTATCGGAATTGTGTTTAAATTTGGAAATGTTGCATTAATATTATTTTCCTGAATAAATGAGTACACAGATACAGGCTAAATAATATTTTCTTTACTTACAAAAGTCTTAAATTTTAATGCTTCACTTTTCAGTTCTGCTAGGTTTGTTTTTGTCAAAATTGTTTTGAATTTATTGTTAATAAATTTATATCCCACAGAACTTTGTGTGATCAGTAAAATGTTGTTTGTCACTGAATCTTATTTTATGTTCTGGAATTTCATTATAAAATATTTTTTGTACTTTATGCCGTTTTGTATAATTAGTAGAGGAAAGTGGCCTAATATTGGATACATTTTTTTCAACCGCTACTTTTTACAAACAAATCGTCTTCTTCGAACACTGATTCTTGACCTGGTATATCCAATATTTCCCCTTCACCTCGTCCAATCGGAGCCAGATGACGATTAGACACTGTGGTCTCCCGTCCGTCTTTCAGTTTAACAAAAGAGTATTCAGGATTTGCCTCTATTGCCTCCACTTTCTCTAAGATAGGCTGGTACTTGTTTTTCCGATCGTACCTTTTCATCAAGATATGTCCAGATTCTGCTAGCCATGACGGTATTATATTCCCATTTGGAAATCGACGTGTGTGCACGAAAGATTTTAAGTCAGTTGTTTTTACAAAATTGCTTATTTTAACAATCCTGGTAGTATTTATATATTCGTATGAACTGTACACATTGCAGTTTTTCGTTAAAAAAATGATAAAACAATAATAAATACGAAAACACAAACATAGAACATATAAATATTAAAATTATCAAAGCCAATCTCTTGCCTTGGCAGTGAGTTGGTGGATTTCTTGAAGACTGCCAACGATCTTGGTGGCTGGACACTCGAAGACGAAGTGGTTAATTGTTTGTTCAACAGCGCTGCATTTGTCACATCCCGGACTGGCATTTATACTCCACTGGTTCAGAGATTTGTTACAAACTCCATGACCATCTCGTATTCTATTAAGGTTGCACCATTCACGATGTGGAAGAGAAAAGCCGTCTGGTTTAACTGTAGGGTGTTCTATGAGATTAGCATTTCTGATATCTGGATTCCATTCGCCCATCCAGTGCTCCTCAGTAGTGAAATCAGCCAATCTGGTAGCAGTTCTAGTAGGTGAATGTCTGGATTTCAATCTTAACTCTCATTGGTCTAGCTCAGCGATGTCTGTATTTATCGGTAGTGCTGGTTTTTGTTGGTATTCTTGAACTAGGGTGTTCAGTGCAGCAAGAAAAGATGGGTGGTCCTTGTTCTGCTGGACATAAGAAATGCTTTTAATTCAGCAAACTGGGGCCTCATAGTAGACCGAATCGTCGAATCTGGGGCTCCAGAGTATATGTCCAACATAATAAAGGACTACTTATCGGAAAGATCCGTATGTATATCCAAGAAGAAAAAGAAAGAAATGACCGCGGGAGTACCCCAGGGGTCAGTCCTGGGACCCTTACTTTGGAACATACTATACAACGGGGTACTAGAAATACACAAAAAGAGAGGAGTGAGAGCGATAGCATACGTGGACGATCTAGCTTTACTGGTCGAAGACGATACGAATTGGGGAATAAAAGATAAGGTAAATAATGCGATAAGAACGACCGCGGCGTGGATAGAGAAGAACGACCTAAAACTAGCAGTAGAAAAGTCAGAAGCAACAATCTTGAGAGGACCACGAAAAAGAAACGATATAATCTTCGCATACCAAGACTCCGAAATAAGACCCCAAAGGACAGTCAGGTACTTAGGTATAACCTTCGATGACAGACTCTCTTTCGGACAGCACGTACAAGAAGCATGTCGGAAGGCGGAAAAAAGGACCTCAACACTTAACAAGTTAATGCCCAACATCGGGGGACCCGGATCCCAAAAGAGGACAGTATTGCTTCAATCAATACTGTCCATATTACTATACGGGGCTCCAGTGTGGCACGAGGTCCTTCGGATGAAAAAGTATAAAGACATGCTTATTAGGGCTCAGAGGAAACCCCTGATCAGGGTGTGCAGTGCGTACAGGACTGTATCAACCATTGCTTTACAGGTGGTGGCCGGTTCTGTACCGGTGCATATCTTGGCCAGGGAGAGAGCCAGAATGTACCAAAGGGGCAACGGAGCGATAGGTTCAGGGCCACAGGAAAGAGCTACAAGTCTAGAGACGTGGCAAAGGGAATGGGCAGCCGAAGTCGGGAAGGCTGACTGGACGAGATCCCTGATCCCGGACGCAGTGAGGTGGTACGGGTGTCGACATCGGCGCGTCAACTATTACTTCACACAGTTTTTGACAGGGCATGGATCGTTCAGGAAATACACCCATCGTATAGGAAAAACCGAGAACGATCTATGTCCTGAGTGTGGAGTGGTGGATGTCGCGCAGCATGTCGTGTTCGTATGCCCCGCATATCACGTTGGACGCACCGAACTGCAGCTGGGCCTGGGATCCCCCCTAGGCGAGCCTCGCGAGCTAATTGATAAAGCTATCGACAGCAAGCATGACTTCGACCTGATCATTGCTTTTGTCACACAGACAATAAAGCATAAAGAAGAAAAAGAGAGGCGACTGCAGACAGGATAACCGTATATTTATCTTTTAACGTGTCTTGTGTCGTAAAAGGCAGTCAGTGGGGGGAGGACCATATACACCCAAACCACACTGACTGTCTAATTTTAACTTATCCTATTTTGCTTTTACACGGTTTTACTTATTTATTTATTTTATCATAGTTTTATATATTTATTTACTTTATCGTTGTTTTATTCTTGATCTAATTTTATTTATACGTTATTGTTTGCTGAACAATTTTACTTTCAATTTCCTTTTCCTGTAAATGTTCTCTATCTTTTCCTTCTTCTTTCTTTGGCTTCTTTTCTATCTTTCATTTCATCCTTCCTCCTCTTTCTCTCTTTCTATTTCTTTTTTAATTTCTTTCTTTATTACTTTAAACTATGTCGTGTTTCGTCTGGAGACAGTCAACAGGGAAGGACCTTTTACATCCGACCTACACAGACTGATCCATTTAAATGTTAGAATGAATAGATGGATGAGTAGGTGTGTCTAGATGAAAGTAAGGAATGACTGGAGTTGAATGAGACTAAGTATAGAATAAGGGGTGGATGAGAAAGAGTGAATAGATGAAGGTATGAACGACTGGAGTTATTCGTAACTGCCGACTGATATCTTAGGGTTGGTTCCATCATGGGTTGGGAAGCGTCCCGACCGCCCTCTTTCCCGTCTTCGGTCACTTCGCTGTGCGGAGGAGGCGTCCGTGAAGCTGACCAACCCATGGAATTCACGCCGGGGGTGTTAGGGGGAGCTATGAGTAAGGTCGACGGGTCAGACATGCTCGCTAAGAGCGGTTCCAGACCCGCCGGCTGGAGGAAGAGGAGGTGAGTTTAGTCGGTAGGCGGTCTCGACACGCGGTACAGCGAGACGGAATGAATCCGACAAACCAGGGACACCTTCCCTGACGGTCTTTTGAAGATTCTCACCTCCCAAAAAAAAAAAAAAAGGGTGTTCAGTGCGGCTAGTCGTCTTGTTGTTGGTGTGGGCTTTATAGTTCCCGTTATGTGCCTCATTGTTTGGTTTAACTGGATATCTATTACTTTTGTGTGATGACTGTGTATCCTGGTAGCCCTTCCACCAGGTTGAACAGGAAATGATCTTTTTTTTTAAGGTCTCAGTCATTCGAATCAAAAACAAAATAAAAAATTCCAATGCAAAAAGCGTGTTGATAATTTACTCAAAACATGCGACATGACACTTTTATTCACTAGTGCCTTCAATTAGTTTTCTTTTAGTTTTGGGCATTTTCTACTCAAATCATTTAGCTCCTTATAGACGGATAAAAGTTCAATTTTTTCACAGATAATAAGTCTAATGAACTTGTTCCACTTTCAGGTGTCTTACAATGGCTGCTTTGGTTTCGTCACAAGCGAATTTACATATCACTTTCTTTTTAATAAATTAATAATCCTCTAATGGTTCGTCTAATAATTAATTGTAGAAAACATTTGGCAAATATTTCGTAGAAACGATGTCGACTATATATATATATATATGTGTGTGTGTGTGTGTGTGTGTGTGTGTGTGTGTGTGTGTGTGTGTGTGTGTGTGTGTGTGTGTGTGTGTGTGTGTGTGTGTGTGTGTGTGTGTGTGTGTGTGTGTGTGTGTGTGTGTGTGTGTGTGTGTGTGTGTGTGTGTGTGTGCGTGTGTGTGTGTGCGTGTGTGTATGTGTGTGTGTGTGTCATGTATAAAAAAGCCTTAATAGTACAAGACAGTGGAAGATAACTAAAACTAAAGAAACAATTCAAATCGGTGCAACAAATATCAGAAGAAAGATAATTAAATCCTTGCAGACCTTTACCTTGAATATAATATGTATTTATGTACCAATGTGGCGCTGGTTCTTAGTGAGACTGAAGTATCGACCGAAAGAAAATCTGCGGTGTTAATGCACTCTTAAAGATTTTGGTCAGGCTGCAGAATCCAACGGCAACAGAATTAATTTTGCAAGCAAGAAGTACCGGTAGTGGTGGTACCTTAGAATTGCAGTAGTACCTGTAGTAGGCAGTCACACCACATTAACGTGTGCCAGTAAACGTGAGCGAGCTGATTTAAATGTTTCACTAGGATCTCGGTGATTTACGACGTCAATTGTGTTTGGTTTTCAATGTGATTAAAATAATTTTTTTCGTGAGGTGGTTTTTAATTACAGTTTGAGTGATTTTGGGAAAAACACAATTCAAAGATAAGGTAAAGTAACAATACTTCGTTAATATTTTATTTAAATAATAATGAAGATGTTTTACGCTGATATATACCTACTGTGTTTATACACACGGAATTGTTTCTATTGTAAGTAGTTCTTGTAGTTAAGGGAAACTCTAGTAATAGAAAACCAACATTTGATGTTGTATGTCAGACCTGAAAAAGATATTTTTAATAAACTTCTTTTCAGAAATTTTTAATACATTTATTTCTTAGGTAAACTTAAAAAAGATTTGCTTTTATTTGGACATATTGCCCGTTTTTTTCTCAACATTGCCTTCATTTGCATCGATTTTCAATTTGATGAATGGATTATTGCATTTATTTTATCTCTTTTTACGTCAATCAGTCCTTCTTCTTCCAATTAGAGACTTCAGACTACGTACCATTCGCTGTTATATATTTTTAATATTATTATATGGAGTTGAGACTTGCACTTTAAAAAAATGCAATTTAAAAAGAATCGAGGCTTTCGAACTATGGTTCTACCGCAGGGTATTGAAAATATCATGGACTGATAGAATTACAAATAAAGAAGTACTGGAGAGGGTTGGTAAAGAAACAGAACTAATCACCACTACACAAACCAGAAAACTAGAATACCTAGGCCACGTGTTGAATGGACCAAAATATGAAATTTTGGGACTCATAATACAGAAAAAGATTCAAAGAAGAAGATTTGTTGGCCAAAGGCAGAACTCATGGTTGAAAAATCTACGTGAGTCTTCAACCATGAGTTCAATTGGTATCAATGCAGATCGATTAATTTGTTTAGAGCAGCAAGTTCTAAAATAAAAATAACCAATATGATTGCAAACCTCTGTAGGGAGACGGCACTCTAAGAAGAATGTAGAATAAGCGTTCCCTTAGAAAGAAGGCTTAAAGCGATCGACAATTTTAAAAATTCGGCTTGTTTGTAGGAGTTTTAGGAGTCAAATCCCTGACGACTGGCCAATATATGCATGTTTGATATATTTTTAACGATTTATCACTAATTTGTCTGGCTATAAATATAGCATCTATGATTGATCTATTTTGTCAAAAGCCTTGTTGCTCTTTACTGATTATATATTTTTCATTAATTATATTGACAAATACCCATGTTTGCATTTTAAAAGTTTTGTGGAGTAAAGGTGAATTTTACGATAATTGGTAGGATTAAACGATTTATTTTTTTTTTTGGGGTGTACTGATATTTTAATTCTGGTTCTCCACTGATCTGGTACTTGCTTGATGTTTTTAATTTCCCAAAAAAGTACGTCTATGTTTTTAATTACCATTTCTATACCGTATTTTAGTCTATTTGATAAGCTGTCGGGCCCTAAAGCTTTTTTTTAGTTAACATAGGCTATACCCGATTTCTTCTTTTGTGATTTCCGTTTTGTCATCAATATCAGCTCTTCAGCTGCTGCTGTTGTAGGTCTAATATTATTTATTGTAAAGTTCTTTTATATACACTTTTTTGAGTAACGAGAAGACTAAAAGATAAGGAAATAAAAGAGACAGTCGCACGAATTCTTTCAGAAAAGCTAAATAGCATTGAGCAAACATCTGATGCAAAAGAATCACTCGAGAATATATGTGAAACCTTTAACAACATCAGAGAAAAACATCTCACATCTCAAATGCTTTCAGTTTTCTGCACATATCTTCGTTCAATGTCCACGATTAAACACCATAAAAAAAGATAGAAAAGACTAGCATCGCAGCATTCTTACTTTTGTATCAAGAGGGAGGTTGTGACTCTTGAAAAAGGCCCCCATCCGATTTAGCTTTTCCGATGCATGCTCTAATTTCCTGGTTGTTGGCCCATTCTTCATTTATTATGGTGCCGAGGTAGTTGTAGTGCGTTACTCTTTCTACAGGGGATTGGTAGACGTAGAGTTGACCTCCTGTTATCCTTCTCTTGCTAATTACTATAAGCTTTATCTTCTTAACGTTTATATTGAGTCCATATTGTTGACTGTAATTGATGATTTTATTCATAACAACTTGTAGGTCTTCAAAGTTGTCTGCAAATACTATGGTCTCATCTGCGTATCTAAAGTTGTTTAGCCGGTAACCATTTAGTAGAATACCTTCTTCAGTTTCGTGCAAAGCTTCGATAAATATTCTTTCAGAGTACAGATTGAAGATTAGAGAAGACAAAATACAGCCTTGTCTCACTCCACGCATGATTTTCACATAGTCAGTGTCTCCACCTTCAACTCTGAGCCATACGACTCTTGAACCATATGATTTTGATACTTTTGTTGATTTATATTAATTTTCCTGACTCCTAATATGCTTTTGCTTGTATGTTACATTATGTTGATTTACGACATTTCTCCTTGTCATATTTAATTTAAAAAAATTATTTCTTTAATAATATTTAAATTTATTCCTAATACTGATTGTTTTCAATCATTTATGAGTTTTGTACAGGTCAGATGTTGCTACAATTTGTATTTTGTTTATGATTAATCGTCGATAATTTTATTGCCTAATGAATCATATTGTTGCATAAACATTTATAAACAATGCGACTCTAAACATCGCCAATAAAACATTTCTACAAGGAAATATACAGATTGAACCAAATTAAAACGGAACATACAATTTAATACATGTCTGTTTGAACTGCATTTGAAATAGTGGACCAATATAAAACTTGGACAAAAATAAATCCATACCTGGGTATAGACATTGTATAAAATATCGTTCAACTATCTGTCTCGCAAAAATGTTGTTTGCGTAAGACGGGTTTGTCTAAGGTAGCGATAATAGTTCAGGAAATGAAACTCGAAAAAAGTTAAAACCTCGCAATTTTTTCGTCCTGCATGTATCCAGTTGAAATTTTAACAGAAGGTAGGTGATAGCCCAATGATCAAAATCTATATTGAACCGAAGTGCGCTGAAGGGTTTTAGGGCTGAAAACTACCCCTAATTTTCAAAAATTCTAAAATAACATATTAAACCTGAATATGGGTAAGATTTGGTTTTAATTAGTTAAATAATGATTATTTTATACTTTTGAATAGAGTTCCATCATATTTCAACCCTTAAAAAGCAACTCTTGTTAGAGAGTAATGTAAAAAAAATTACTAATTCTAAAAAAATGATTTCGCCTTGGATCGATTTGGATAAAAATTTGGATTTAAGCTCAATTCACCCGCTGCTTTATAGTTTATGTCATGTCGACGAACCCTGATTGTTCTTAGGGGTGAAAACTACCCGTAATTGTCAAAAATTATAAAATAACATATTAAACCTGAATATGGGTAAAATTTGGTTTGAATTAATGAAATAATGATAGTTTCGTGCTTTTGAATAAAGTTCCATCATATTTCAACCCTTAAAAACGACCCTTATTGGAGATTAATATAAAAAAATTAGTAATGCGAAGAAAATGATTTCACCTTGGAACGATTTGCATAAAAATTTGGAATTAAGCTCAACTCACCCTCTGCTTTATAGTTTATGTCATGCCGATGAACCCTGATTGTTCTTGGGGGTGAAAACTACCCCTAATTTTCAAAAATTGTAAAATAATATTATAAATCTTAAGATGAGTGAAATTTGGTTTGGATTAGTTAAATAGTGATTTTTTTATACTTTAAAATATAAATTCATACATTTCCAACCCTTAAAAATCAATTGTTATGAGTGCTATAGGTGAAAACAATTTTCTCCCAAAATTTTGCAAGTTTTCAACTTTTGAAAATCACCCTTTACAACATTGCAGTTTTTATAAACTAATTTATAAGATATAAATTGAAAAAAGTAGAATTAAATACAAAAAAATGTATCAACATAAAAAGGCACCATATATTCTTATACATTTACATAAATAATGGAATTGGATTACTAATGGAATTTTCCGGAAAAAAATTCACTGGTTTTTTTAACGTATTTCCTTTAATTTTTAACGATAGAGTGTTTCTTTAAAAACGATTTGTAGAGGTTTTTAAGAGCTACAAGGATCTGTGAATTAAATCTTTTTGGAACCCTTGGTTTTTAAATGGGGTGAGTTTAAAGGGCTCGAAAAAGATGGTGCCTGATCGTAAATCGATGCTTTAAACGGCTATATCTCTCCAAATATTCATTGTACAACAAATCTAAATGAAGGATAATTTTAGTCATTAAAAAAGCTACAATTTGATAATTTGTATTTTTTCATATATTCAGTATTTTCGGGCATATTTAAAAAAAGAAGGGTAAAAAATATGAAATTGTAAATCGTTTCTCTCTTTAAGCTGTACTTTTTCTAACACAAAGCATTTTAAATGGGTCAAACTTCTTGGACGTATTAACAATACATGTACAAAGGGAGTTTCAGAAGAGTGAAGATCGATTTTAATTATGGGAGTGGTTAGCGGGTTGTTTTCAAAGATTTTTTCGTAAAAAATGAGGTTTTGACCTTATTTTCATCATAACTCACTCAATTTTTGAGCTAGAGTTTTGTTTATGATAGGTCTATTTATGCTCTTTAAAAAAGGTTTTGTGAGTTTTTTTCCAAAAATGCATCATTTTCCCGATATTTGATTTTGAATCTTTCAAATTTGGCATTTGAAGAAAACCGCTGAACATTGATAGGCCGTATTTCGGTTCCTATTATATCGCAAAAACATTTTAAAAAATGAATTGTATTTGTGTTTTTAAAAGCTACAAATTTTTTCTCTACAATTTTTTTGATAAAATGTACCATTTTCGAATTATTCGCGAAAAATCGATTAAAAACGTGGATTTTTTCGTCTAAAAGTTATTACTTTCAATCGCGAATAACTTGAAAAATATCATTTTATAAAAAAAATGTATGGCACATTTTTTGTTTAGAATCACTTTTTTAATCGAAACCTGTAGTTAAAACGTAAAAAAAATTTTCACCCCGGAGATGGGATGGCAACCACCCCCTGGGCTTTGGCGCACTTTTGTTTGATATAGATTTTGATCCTTAGGCTATTAACTACCTTCTGTTAAATTTCAAGTCAATCCACGGAGCACGA